TTTTTTCTCGATATTCAAGAAAAATTAATGTTCATGACTGACCTCAGGAACTAACCTCAGTACCAAACTTTAAATGCATCTTAAATATATCAAGTGAACTTATCCTTACATCACTTCTATTTCAAGGAGTATCATAATCATCTAACCTATGAACTCAATTCCTCACTCCAAAGAATAGCTTTCTGATCTTGGATCCTTCTTCCCCGTTTATTCTTACAGAAGTAAGAGAACTATTGAACCAAGAAAGACCAGGGTACTTGACAATGTAAGTGAGAGATGGTTCCAGCAAAGCGCATGTGTCATGCTAATAGTTAGGCAGTTGGAATTGATCAACATGGATGTTCAATTATTGTGCAACACTGAAGTGTGGTTTATTTGACTAATTTATCCGAGAAGGATAATATTTTGCCCACAAGCTAAGCTTACTTGAGGGAAAGTTGGGGTTATGACTCAGTACCTGATATTGCAGGAGTCAAAATGCCGTCTCCTATTACCATGGATGTTCCTGTCAGAACCAACAGCAATAGGATGGTTTTCAGCAAGGACTTGTGTTCCAGAGCATCTTTTATATTCAAAGCCCTTTCAAGTTCCGGAGTGGGCAGTTTGAGCTTAAAACTAGAGATGTACTCATCAGCCTGCTGACGATTGGGAAGAAGATTAACTTTTGCGTATCTACAGATCAATGAATATAATGCAAATGTTCCTCCTGCCAGTAAATCAAAAATCACAATGAAAAGTCAGCGCTGAAAAGATCAGCAGGTTATACAACAATGAAACGTTTTTATGCAAAAAATACATACCTTCGCCATTGTCATTGGCCTTCAGCACTATAAAGACATACTTCATTAATGGAATGAGAGCAATGGTGTACATCACTAGTGATAGAGCCCCTAAGACATCAACTTCTGACGTGATGGTCACCTTGCTGAACACATCAGAGAAGACATATAAAGGGCTCGTGCCCATGTCACCATACACCACACCAAGAGTTTGAAATGCCAAGGCAAGAGTTTGCCAAAGAGAAGCATCCTGAATTGGTAAAGCAAAAGATTATTAGGCAAAGGATAGAGTATCTACTTAGGTCATTAACCCTAATAAGAAATGGTCAACAAAAGATAATACTAGAAGAACTTATGTTTACATTTGCATCCTTTAGCTAGTAATTGAACTAATTGCCCCTTTCTAGAGTTCTTACTGGATTTCAACCAATAACTTAAACCGAACAATAAGAACTGAAAAGTTTGAACAGCCAAGTAAATAAAGTAGTTTCGTCTAAGTAAAATATGTAACAAGGCAGCAAGGAGAATGTTGTCCTTTCAGGATGTTTTTGTAGAAGTTCCCTCCAATGTCTGCTGGAAATAAAATTGCAGTACAAGTCCTACAATAGCCTCCGAACTTATAAGTCAATTTTCTGGATTAATTTAATCAGTTGAATATTCAAAGCTAAGCCACCAACTCAAAAGACAATAAACTATTTTCGTTGATATTGGGCTTCGTGTCTAAATTTTGATTAATATGTACAATTCAGGCTATAGAGGTGTACAGCCACCCCAGAAAGTCACTGAGATAGGAGTTGGAACAAGTGTTGCAAAAGTGTTTTACCCCAAGTTCACAGATTGTGGCTCCTAATCTGATGAAGGTTGGAAGAAACACATCCTACTACCTTGAATTAGAGATTGGAGATTGGCATGCAAGAGATAAAAGCTTGATGTGGTAACATGTAGGATGATTTGAGCTTTTGGCCATGATATTCCTATTCCTTTTTTGGCATTTAATTATAAAATCAATGCTTCAAAGTTTACCCAAACATAGGACACTTGGCAAGACAGCCACTTCATGTTGCTTAATCTGATATCTACTGTCATGGAGAAATTCTGAATGCCCAGAGATGATCACTTGAAATGTCAGCGGGCTTCTGTACCCAATGCCAATAATGCATCTTACCTCACTAACTGTCACAGAAACCTGTTTACTTTAACACCATATAGATCCTTAACCAAACCAATTCAAGCATGCTCATATATCGCAAAGTTCTTAGCAAAAAGATCAAATTGCATTACATCAGTTGGAAAACAAGTGAAACATTAATTCCAAGTTTGATAGTCATTTCATTTTGTCCTCCCCTCCCAGAAGTGATGCAGTCCTTTTGACAAAATCTTAACTTTGGAAGTAGGAATGACTTTCCTCACTTTTTGAGTGTATCAGCTGAATGCTCAATACAACTCGAGGCCTAAAAGTTAATCCGCAATTTAAGAGACTTCCCCTGCATGTGATTTGCCATGGGGAAAGTAGAATTTGAACGATGATTATACAATATTAGTTTGGGACTTGTAATTGCCCCAGTAGGTAGATTTAAGCCAAGAACAGTCACAGAAATTTTAAGCCTGAAACAGCGTACTCATAACAGACATAGATTCTGCTGATTGTGGCCTTGTCAAATTATATTGCAAGCAGTACAAAATCTTCATTTCATTTCACATCACAAAAGAATACCAATCCCCACCCAAAACTTTATACATTAGAATAGACTCGAGTATCTTTTCCTAACATGCTTAATTTGAGTTTAATGTTCGGATGCTCCAGTGTCCAAGTACGCTGATGATTCCATTTTACTAATGAAATGCAACTACTCAAAATTAATTGTCAGCACATGGAGAGAAATCTAAAGAACTTAAAATTATGGTGACCTTTTCATGATTGCCATGAGCTCCAGCAATCTCCATAGCTTCAACATCAAAAGAATCAACTCTCTTGGGCTTCTTGACAAGCCTTCTTCTAATAGATCCATACCCTTCTCTAATATCCTGATCCCCACCCAAGGACCAAGGTGGTGACTCGGAGTCCACTTCACTGCCATCCACCCACCTTGACTCCCCACCTCCACTGCTACTAGTACTACGCAACAACCTCACGCTACTACTCTCTTCAATCTCTTCTTTCATGGCTCCTTCTCAAGCTGCTCTGCAATTCCAACCAGCAGACAATGACTTCTAACTATGAAAAATGGCTCAAAATATCACCTTTCAGTCATTTTCCGACATAATCTGCAAAGCTCACTTGCCAGGTTACCCAGCTGTTCAGATAAAGGCTCTCTTAATTGGTTGGTGTAGTTAATCTAGTCAGAATCAAAAGTCTTACACGAACCCTTTTGCCTTGAATGTTGCACCAGGAAGGATGAAAGATCCAAACTTTGATTGGTGCCACCGTGGCGGCAATCTGGGCTCTGTATGGGGTAACTTTTTGGTGGTATTATACCAAGAATGGGTTTGATGACCAATGAATAACAGAATATGTTCACCATTCTTGGATCCAACGGATGTTAGCAGATGCTAATAGCTCACCCAGTCAGTCGCACTAAATGACAAACTGGGACAGAATTCGTAGTAGTATATTCCACCAATTCCACTTACCACTCTCTATTATTTATTGGTGGAAAATTGGGAATAATAAATAGTGACTAATGAGCTAGAAAAAGGAGTGGTAATTAGAAGAATTTTTTCCCCTTTTCTCCTTTTATCTTATACATATTATTTACCAGATATTCATCGGGCACTGAATTTGGTAAAAAGAATTTGGGAATTTGGAAATCGATTTTTCAAGATAAATATTCAGTTATCGTCCAAACTTTAGTTTGATAAATTGGATATTGGTACTTGGATTTTGGCCGAAAAACTGAAAATTCGGTAATGTCAAAATTCAAAATGTCAATAACAAGTTAAATTATTTTAACCTTCTCTAAAAGAATTGTTACACCAAAATAATGTTCCGTGTATTTTTTTCCAACAAAATGCAATCAATTTAGCTAGTAATACTTCACTATACTATTAGTTAGTAGTTAGTAGTTATCTAATTACCCATTATGAATTAGTATTTAACATGTACAACTAATATTTCTGCCAAATATATATATAACTAATATATATACCATTATATTATAAAAGTTTTAGAATTTCGGCCAGTAATCAGTAATTTGATAATGTATATTTAATATCCGTTTCCAAATTGTTTTAGCAAAAATTATTATATCATTTGTTTTATAATGTGATGTACGTGAGATAAAATTTTGTTAAAAAAATTCGATGTGCGTGCATTGTTTTAGGTCCATTTTTATCAAAATCACTTTAATACGCATCCATGCATCAATATAATAATTAAGTGTAGAGTTTACAGTTTAATTTCTCCTCCGGTCCTAATCAATTCAGTGGCAAATATAATAATTTCTCCAAATATTTACAGTTTATTACTGTAGAGTTTTGAGCGTGGAACCATAATATTGTTGTGGATATTGTTAGCTTTCTGGACAAATATCACGCCTAAAAAGAAAGTGAAAAAATAGGTAAAGCTGAAAAGTGCGCTCTTGTTCTTTTTTTAGTCCCTAAAAATACAAAGTCTTCATATTTATCTAGTAAAAGGTACTTTATGCCTAACTAAATGTTTTTTCCTTGTGGAATTCCATATGTGTGATTCTACTTCGGATCAAAATTCAAAGATCTAAATAATCTTATCACCCTTCAATTTATTTATTTCTTTTCCTACCTTTTGACCCCTATTCTATGATATGATAGTAAAAAGGGGAGAGGTTGCAGCTAATGTGAACAATTTGTGTCATTTTATGGACTTCTAAATTTATATTTAAAAAACTAATTTTTACCCTAATCACCTAATTATAATTGCCAACATAATCACTCTAAGTATTGTACCTACTAAATTAACTATGACTTTATTTAAGAAAATATTCCTAATAGATCAAAGTTCTTTAATGAAAATTTTACATATGAAATTTATTTACGTAAAAACATAATTTATATATTTATGGAAAATAAATTATTTCTAAATTGCAAAGGAACTGGGACAGATTCAAACAGTACAACCGAGTAACCATACCAATTAGCCCAGGGCCCAATAAATTACTGGGCCATCCTGGACTTCATAAGATGGTCCAGTTTAAAATGGCCCAAAAATTTAACAGTACAAAACCAACACCTATTCTTCATGCTCGAAGCCCAGCTGTACCAAATCAACAAATTGTCAAATTCTCTTTTTCAACTTCCAGAGAGTTTCGTCTTGTCATTTTCTCTCCCCTAGGGTTTTATAAAGATTTTTCTCTATTTTCGTGTGTGAGTTTATTCCGTTTCGGAAAAAACTAGCGAAAGCTGCACTCCCACACTCTGTCTACCTGTAAGCTTTCTTTCTCTTTTTCTCTCTCTGTTCATGAATTCGTAAAAGAGGAACGTAGGAAACGTTTATCTGATTATTCGTACGCAAAGATTCCATGGTGTTTTGATTAACGCTTCGATTTTTTTTTGATGAAGAGAAAATGTCGAGGGTATACGTTGGGAATTTGGACCAGCGGGTGACGGAGAGGGATCTCGAGGATGAGTTCCGCTTCTATGGTGTCCTTCGCAGGTAAATTTCACGGTTTTTTTTTTCGTTTTTTTCTAGATCGTCCATTATTTTTGCTTTTTTTTTTTTTTAATTCAAGCATAAAAAAAAGGAAGTTGGGTGCCGATGGAATTCTTGCAATGGCCGGTAGTCTAGGGCTGCAGATGAAATTTGGCTTTATATCAATTGGTGCCTTCAGCGGTTGTGTTAAAATGGTTGGTTATTGTCTGTTGAGGTGTTCGATTAATATTTTGGGACCTTGAGTTGGGCCCCCCCCCCGGGGGGGAGGTTGAGGGGAAGAGAGAGGATACTCAATGCAAGTCTTTCTGCGCAGACACAGGCAAGAATTAGAATATATACAAATTGCAAAGAACAAAAAGAATGGAAAGAATCCCCTAATGATTGGAATAGAAGGTTTGATTTTTGGTCATTTACAAGAACTTCTTGTTAGCCTGTGCTGCCATATTTAAGATGTATGGATTCGGTTGGTTGATTATGTCTGCACATGATTACTGCTTATTATGCTAGACTGACTCTCTCCTAGCTGTTCTACAGTAATTCCTTCCCCCCCCCCCCCCCCCGCCCCCGGGTTTCTTCTAGTTTTGTCCTGTTGATGTTTCACTAATTTATCAATGCTAGATGCTTTTCATGGTTTTAATTCGTGGCTTTTTGTGGTACTTTGTTGGTAAAACGAACCCAGTGTATGGGTTGCTCGAAGACCACCAGGTTATGCTTTTGTTGAGTTTGATGATCGCCGGGATGCTGAAGATGCAATTCGGGCACTGGATGGTAAGCACAATGCAATTTTTCAAAAATGCACTTCAATATGATTTTGATCCTCCTTTGCGTGTAGAAGTTGTATAATTATGTACAATCTAGAATCTCAATGAGGCCTAGTGTGGTTTTACAATCCAGGCTCTTCATGTTTTCTTGTTTCAGTGGAGAATTTAGGTGAGATTTTGTGGTCATGGCACTTTTTGTGTTGTCTGAAAAGCATGGAGATTTTTTAATGCTAAAATTACTCATAATTATAGGAAAATTGTGCTGTAAGATTAGTGAATCAACGCTAATGTGATTCTTTTTTCCCATTCCACTTCCTTGTGGTCTTGAAATTTCAGTAGCATGGCACAGTAGTAAACAAAAAAAATGCCATGTTGCGGTAACAATTGTTTTCCATTCCTTTTGTACAGGGGATTCTAAATTGATTTTTGAATTTTTTTGAGTTTTATTGTTATGCTATTTTGCACTAATATTATGTTTTTTGTGGTTTTTAATTGGCTTGTTTGTTTAAATTCCGTTCAAATGATTTCTCCTGTGGGAAGAGTGATCCTTAGCTGAGTGGCTGTTTTTGTTTTAATTTTCCTAGTTGTCGATTTCAGGATTTTCATTGCTTGAGATTCTCCTCTCTCTCTATCTCCCCCCCACCCTTTAAATTACCTGTTATGCTTTCTTTTATTGTTCTTTAAAATCTTTTGAAAGTTGTTATTTAGTGACAATTCGATTTAACAGGTAAAAATGGATGGCGTGTAGAGCTGTCACACAACTCTAAAGGAGGTGGTGGAGGCCGTGGTGGTGGTGGTGGTGGTCGTGGTCGTGGTGGGGATGATCTGAAGTGCTATGAATGTGGTGAACCTGGTCATTTTGCGCGAGAGTGTCGCTTGCGCATTGGCCCAAGAGGATTAGGTAGTGGAAGACGTCAAAGTCCGAGCCCTCGGTATCGTAGGAGTCCAAGTTATGGGAGGAGGTGTGTTTATTAAGTTTTATTAATGTCAAAGTTCATGAGCTGCTCCATTTGTATTTTTGTTTAAGCACACGTTGAATTCTCACTTCCAACTGATTTCTAAAAAGCAATTGTGCTGACTTACTGGAAAAAGTTCTACAGCATTCAGTAAGATGTTTTGGTTTTTCTAGCCAACAATTAGCATCCTTTTAGGTTTTAATATCACATATTGTATTGGTCATTCTTGCATAAAATTTGTAGAACTGCATTATCTTTTTTGGCTCAGTGTTGTTGAATTTTAAGATCATTATAATTTTGTTCTGTTTTTTGTTTTGTTTGCGTCATGTATAATTTACATGGGGACGGTGATAGTTGTAAATCAAAGGTTATCTATGGAAAAAGTTGGAATGAAGTTTGTGGAATGGCAACTCAAATACATATAGGGGTTTGTTGTTGCTACTGATTTGTACAACAAGAGTTGTTGCTGCTTATGGCAGGAGTTACAGTCCCAGGAGAAGATCACCGAGGCGCAGAAGCATATCTCCTAAGCGTGGGCGAAGCCCCAGCAGGTCTCCTGATTATCGCCGTGGTCATCGGGATTCACCTCATGGTAACGGGTATGTGAGATTGATTATTAGACATGCTCATAGAATCTTTCTTTGTTTTCTTATCATTATGTAGTCACTAGTAATTTTTTTTCCCCTTGTGCAGTGTATCACCTCGTCGTGGCTATAGTAACTACAGCAGATCACCGGCCCATCGTCGTGGTCATCGTGAATCACCCTATGCCAATGGGTATGTCATGTGCTTTGAGATCTACATTATGTGGTTCCACTTACTTGCATCCTAGCTAGATAAATATTACTCTGCTTGAACTGAACTGAAATTTGACCAAGGTTGAGCCAGAGTTGCTGTCTGGTTTGAGGAGCTGCTAATAAAAGCCCAACTTTAATCTAATCGAAGTTTAATGTGTTTTGCAGGGATTGATGACAGAGGAGTATCAGACTACCAGCAGGAGGGATGTGATTTTTCTGCATTGTAGGCTGATAGGCTTGATGAAGAACAAGAATAGTTATAATTTAGTTAATGACTGGTCAATGGATGTCTTCGAACTTGGATTTTGGTTTTGCTTCTGCTGCATATAGATGCCAAAAAGTAATGCTTTGCACTGCACTTTGCCGTCGACTTGCTCTGTTCGGCTTACCAAAATCCTGGAGGTTTATTTATATTGAAAAAAGTTGCTATTAATCCGTTTTTATGTGCTATAGTGATAAATGTGTCCTAAGATGCTTATACTTTTCTTTTTTTGAGGTATGATTTCGGCTAAGACTGCATCGCTCTGCATCGTATCGCCTCTTCTCCTCTTCTCGCTTCTTAGTCCATGGTTTTCCACGATCTGCTTCTCTGCATTTCTACATCTAATTGCTGTAGTATCTTGAGCTTTAATGAGTTCGACTTCATGATCCGAAACTGCAAGCAATTAAATTTGGTCGATCCAAGTTTTCATGCATTAGAGCTTCATCATGTAAGATCCTTTCCTGCCAGCTGTTGGAGCACTTCGCTGCTTTGTGTTCTCCAAAGACTCGAGCTGCACAGTCATGTACCACCACATCATGTTGTCATCTGCACTTAAAGTGGCATCAGCTCTCTTTATGCATCCACCTTGAAAATCAGTGAGTGTCCTGTTGTGAGAACAGCCCCACTTAGCTGCTCTTATTTTCCTCTGCTTTGGTTGCTAATCAAGTGCTGTCCTTAACCTACTATTGTGGTATGATACTAAGATATGAGCCAGCTTGTTTGCTCCTACAATTGCTTGTCTGGGGGTCTTCCAGGGTTCTGTTCGGATCCAGCTTCTTACCTGTGTCACTCGCCATTTACCGATGCGCTCCCAGTCCCATGATCCTTCATATGCCCGACTCATTGTGCTAGGAAGTTCAATTTTAGTTAAGAAATACTTGTAATATGTCAGACCTGTTTTTATGGTGATTTGCATGACTAGGAGCACGAGGTGCTGCTATTCAAGGTGGAATAGCAATTTTGCATTCAACACCTCCTACTCCTGTATTTACATGGCAATTTTGGCTGAGACAAAAGGTCGTTTCTACTGGTAATTGGGTTCTTTACTCCAGCTATTTAATAGCATTTCAACAAATATTTCTCGAAATGACCTGTGGGTAAAGAACAATTGTTGAAATGCTATGGCTTGTGGGTATAGCATTTCTATAGCATTTCAATGGCCTGTGGGTCAAGCATTTCTATGGCTTGTGGGGGTTGTTATCCGGTTGAACAATTGTCCGGAGTTTCAGTGGTGTTTATGTGCTAAACATTTATTATCAAGGATAATTCTTTCCACCAGTGGCTTCTTTCTATTGTATCCGGTACGTATTTGTGTTTTTCTCTTTGTGGTTTATTGGACGAGGAAGGTGGAACAGTACCAGCTTCCAATGAAAGATGCCTCGGAGAGGTGGAATGGTATTTAATTTTCATCGAATATGCCTCGTGTATTTTGTGGTTGGGATAGTCACAGGGTAAGAGTAGTAGGATGTAACTGCATTTACTCCTGCGTCTTTTGCCACCAAATTTAAAAGGCCAACCTTACATTATTATTGCTTGTTGAATGTAAAACAGATCTGTTTCTTAATGGTCTCGCACCAGCTCGAATCTCCTACATTCAGAAAGCAAACCCGGGCTTAGGACAGGAAAGAAAAAAAGAAGGGAAAACTTAAAGTTGTGAAAGAGAGGGGGAAGGATTAAGCATATCCAGGCTTAGGACGGGAAAGAAAAGAAGGAAAAACTTTAAGTTATGACTTATGAGAGAGAAGGGGAAGGATTGTTTATGTTGTTTGGGAGTTGAAAATTAATGAAATGATTTTGGATGTGGAACTGGGGAAGTCATAAAATATTTATTCAAGACCTTTTTAAGGATAAAATAGGCATTATGAAAAGATTTGACAAGATTCCTCAAAGTTTCCTTCTATTTCGGTTCAATTTGGGCAAAAAAGTTTTGGCTAATGTAGCACTGCATTTCATCCTCCTGATTTCTGAATCCTTCCATTTCCTTTCTTTTCTTTTTTACTAAAAACTAACAAACAAAAGAAAACTGCCTCTCTCTTGTTTCCCATTCTTTTCTGTCCGACGCCCCAACTCCCAAACGAAATTGTTGAACATCAATGGCTATTTGGCTTTTCAAAATAATAAGCGGAATTTTTAAAGCAAGACCAAAAAAAAAAAAAAAAATAGAATTTCGTACCATTTTTAGGTGGCTGCAAAAATTGAATTTCTTATTACTGCCATAGCTAGTTTGGTCACTGCGAATATTTCGTTGACACCAGAAGCAAAAGTACCCAAACCCACTAGGTAGCAAGGTTTATGTTCAAAAGGGGCTAAGGGTCAGCAAACACTTCCACGGCAATGTGGAATCTGGCTGACTAACTCGGAGAAAACAATCACAGTATTCAAGAAGAAAGAGTTCTTTTTGCTACTATGATAAGTTGTTGTACGTTTTGCACAAAACAGCTAACAAAGTAAAACTCTGTGGGAAGTAAATGTAGAAATTTGCATACTCCTCAAAATCTCTTCAAAATGTGCTCGATTAACAGATTTTGGTCCCCGAAAACATAATTCCAACCAAATCTGTTCCGACGCCTAACTGATGCCTAGAAGGCAAATTGTGAGATCTGAGGCAACTCCTACTTTAAATGCCGAAAAAACCTTTGTCAATTTGCTTTTGAATCGATGACCTTCTTTGCAAAAGATGGCAAACAGAAAGCTGCAGAATGGATCTTTTTTTTGTAGAAAGCAGACAGAAGAAATCAAAGAGAGCCACATCATCGTACAAAAAGAAAGAAGCTCAAAGGCAACTTTAATGTAGAAAGATACCTCAGAGTTGTAGAACTTCAACGGTTTCATAGTTTTGGAACGGCCATCATTTGCATCAATTGGGTTGATTGGATGCTTGAAATCTACTGGTGGCCCCTCAGTAGAACAGAGCATGAAACCAATTACTCCACTGTAATGGAAATCAATAACAGTGTTAAGAGACAAAACTTTACAGCAGGAAACAAACTAGAGATTAAATAATATCAAACAGGATAGTCCGTTTCTTTTGAGGACTTTATCACTATACAACACACCAAGTAACAAAGAAATGCAGCCCCAATTGACAGAGCCCTGGCAGTGAGAAATGTACACATGCAAGGCGGAAAGAAAGAAACAATGCCTTGGGTAAGTAGGAACTGTAGTCCATGCATAGTTGACTGATCCCTTGAAGATCTGCCTGCAGTTTGCAACGATATCTTCGATAATGTGCATGTGAAGCCATATACTTTCAGCCTGTGTACATACAACTCCACCAGGACGCAGAGCTTTTGCAACTGACTCAAAGAACGGCTTCTCAAACAACTCTTGTGCTGGGCCTGAATGCCAGAAAACTAACTCACAAAACTATCTCACAAGGAGAACAAGGAAGCAAAGGGCTTTAACAGAACGTTACCAATAGGATCAGAAGAATCTACTATAATCGCATCATAAGTTCCTTCAGGAACAGCCTTCAAAAATGCAACTCCTGTAAGGATAAGCAACAGCCGGTGAAGAAAAGCACTCAACAAAGAGAGGACAAAGATAGAATTTTCTGAATAAGGCAAGAGGAATCGAGATGTACCATCACCAATATGAAGGACTACACGTGGATCCTCAAATCCAACAGCAACATCAGGGAAAAACTGTTTGGATACCTGAATAGCAAAAGAACATACTCACTGCTCCCAAATCCAATCAGAACTAGGCGTTTATAATTTGTTTAAGCAGGGATCACAAATAAATCTTGTTCCGTGAATTTGTTCCAGTAGTAGAAAAATAACCAACTAATGTGATAAATGTGTCCATCATTCTTGAATAAGAATAACTAGCACCTAATTATGCAAAACCAACAACCAAAGGGAATGAAACAAAGGAACTTTACAAAATGGTGAAAAAAAAATAGGAGGAAAAAAAAAGACATTGAGAAGTAAAGAGGACATAGAGAGGCAATGGAATGAACAAAAGAAGACACCATGACTCACATCAACTACCATCTTATCAATCTCACAGATGTCTATCTGTTCAACAGACAAATGACGAGCAACTTCACGCAGGACACCCCCATCTCCTCCACCAATAACCAAAACCTGTTAACATGCAGATTCAAAAATTAAAATAGTGGACATAAAACTAATCAAAATATTTCCCCACTGCCAATGTAGAGTTTGCCTAGAAACTTGGACATGAAAAGATATAGACAGAGATGCCCCAAGGCAATGGATGCAAAAGATGCGCTGTTTTGCATCATTGAGCATATTTCCTCATACTTGTTAGTTACACATCTAAACCACCAACTAAGTTGCAGAAATTTAAGTAAAGGCAGCAATTTCTCCAATTTCATCCTCGATAGACAGCATTAAGTAACTTATCCAGTACAAAACCATGTACTTCATCCAGAACTCATAAATACATGGTCTTTATGCAACCACAAGCTTTTTGTGGACCTTTTATTGCCAATTGCCCATTGCCACTGTAGATTTGATCTCATATACAAAATTGAATAGAAACTGAAAGGCACAAGAAACTCCAGTACAACTCCTAGCAAACTGACCTTCTTTGGGCTTGGAATAGAGCAGAGAGGAAGATGCGCAATCATTTCTTGATATGCACATTCATCTCTCTCGGTTAATTGAATTACTCCATCCAAAACAAGCACCTTCCCGTAGGTTGATGACTGCAGCAACAGCCAAAGAAAATTTAGGCACAAAGCTTTGCTCAAGATAATCACACTTATAACGGGGACCAGGAGGAGGTTTGTTTGAAATTAGGACATTTTTAAATACCTGAAAGACCATGACATTCTGGTAATCAGATTTTCCCTGGAATAGTATCTTTTCTACCTTTAGCGAGTGTGCCTCTCCTGCAACTCAAAACATTTAATCATTAAAGAGTTCCAAGCTCTTAACATACAATTGTCACAGACCTAGTTAAAAAGAAAATAAACCACAGCTCAACTGCTAAGTCTCAACACAGGACTATTACTTACTAAAATAAAAGTACCTTCAGTTATTACCAAAAACAGCAGAGGACTGAATACATGTAACAAAATATTGAAGTTTGTCAAACTTCGCACTGAGGTATGGATTTTGAAAAGGCCCATATGAAAAGAAAAAGGATTTGAAGAAGAAACTAAAGGATAGAAACAATGAGTAGGAAAATGGTACTTCGTAACTGTCAAAAAAACATGGCACATAGACAATGAGATTCTAAAACATTTTGGACCATCTATTTCTCTTTTTTATCTCCTGTGAAAATGGATGCTTCTTTGGGATTGGAATACAACATTAACAGTCAAACAGATAATACACCAAGGATAACCCTTATCACCATATTTATCTGTTGAGCAATTCATAGAACTACTTGCCAAGGTACACGACTAGTTTGATATAGTAGCTAAATTTCTAACAGAAATACAGGAAAGTTTTGACTATTTGAGACTCAAAAATGAAAAGCATTTTGTTGCTACCAGAGATTCATCGTTTCTACGTCCGAATGTAGTTATTTGAGAACCAGTCAACGCAATGATGACAGCCATAGCTTTCCTTTTTTGGCTCCAAAAATTTTTTTTTTTCTTAAATAATACCGCAACTATGATGCTTCATTCAACAAAGTGATGACAGCTATAGCTATCTTTTTTTCCGATTTTTTTTCTGAAATAATACCGCAGCTATGATGCTTACTAGAAAATTATTACTCCTCGTTACACTCGCTACCTTCTAAACAGAATAGAACATCAGGTTATCTGAAAAACAATTACCACAGTAATGAATACATAAAAACAAGAAAACCTAAACACCCAATAAAACGGACAACAAAGAAAGCATTTTTACACAACAACTAAACCAAAGACTCATGTTTATGATTCTCCGAACCCATATCAAGGAAAAGGGAAAAAACCAACAAAAAACCCTAGTTATAATCAATTAACACAATCTCTCTACAGCTCAAAGACAGACATGCTTAAACAAACAATAGAGAAACCCCATGATTCAAATCAATTAATCAAACTCTTTCCAGCTCAAAACACGCAACCAACGTGCTAAAATAAATTCAGAACTACGAAAATAAAAGCAATAGGTGAAAACAAAGTAAAGAATAGGCTTAAGAATAAAAAACAGACCAGGCCACATTGGGCTGATCTCAGAAAACCATCCAGGAATAACAGAAGAAACGCCGTCGGGAAGCTGCGCCGCCTCCTCTTTACTATTGCTATTCACGGCATCAGCCATTCCAACAGAAGAAACACCGTTGCTCACTTGTTCTCCTCCTTCTTCAC